TTTGTTCCAAAAGAACACAAGTAAATTTATTTCTTCCACTTATGATGCGAGTTGAAAGCATGGCCGTTTTACCGGGGTTTTTAAATCGTGATTTAAAGAAAATTCAACTTTAAATAGTGACATTTAAATGTAAACATTTACATGTTCAAGCAAGCATTCGTGTGGACTTCTTGGTGATCAGCAATGTCTGTGATGGTACGTCGGCTGCGCTGGTCGTTTACCGATCATGCAAGTGCATAGCTGCCCGGTTGCTGCCTTTGTTCCACTCGGCGGTGACGATGTTGCCGCTACCTAGTCACGACGTGAACTTGGTTTTAACCATAGACCTTATGTTTAACGAATGGTTTTACCGATAACGATTTTATATATTTGACGTCACCCTGGCAGTAAAAATATGGGTACGGTAATGCACTTTTCTGGGCCACATGTTCATTTTTAATCGTGTTGAAAAAACTTGTAACTTTTTGTTTGGTGGTGTTATCACCTCACGGTGACCTGCTACGATAACAAACCGGAATTTTCACAGTTGCACCTTAAAACAATGAACCAGTTACCCTGAGCACGATGAATCATCTTCGGAAGACAATGAGTGTTGGCCTGTTTTGTAAACAATTCTTTGTATGGGACCATGCAGGGCGCACAGGAAATATAACAGGGCGCTGACAATTTAAACAGGGCGCCAATTTCAGATAACAGGGCGCGGCGCCCTGTAAAAACCCCTCGTGGAGAACCCTGGGGGCTGATGTTTCTGTCTCGTGACAATAAATTAATGATACTTACGATTTTAGTTTGTATTTATTACACATGCTATAAAGAATCCTGTCTTTATGGATTTCTGCCAAATTCTCCCCTTTCCCTCCCACTGTTGTTACAAAATGGTTGATTCCGTACTGATGTCAAAGTAATTGTCAATCTTCTGGAGTGCTCAGTTTCTTTTCTGGAATTGCTGATTACGATATCGTGAGACCCTGTGTGACTAACTGAAGTCTTTAGGTCATCAGTCAAATTAAAATTTAAAGATTAATTGAATATTCTCATTTTATTCTTGTAGTGAATTTTTTACTCACAAAAAATGATCACCATTATTTGCTCAGGGTTCAGTTTAGACAGGTTTCCAGTCTTCACAGGGTTCAGTTTAGACAGGTTCCCAATCTACACAGGATTCAGTTTAGACAGGTTTCCAGTCTTCACAGGGTTCAGTTTAGACAGGTTCCCAATCTACACAGGATTCAGTTTAGACAGGTTTCCAGTCTTCACAGGGTTCAGTTTAGACAGGTTCCCAATCTACACATGGTTTAGTTTAGACAGGTTCCCAATCTACACAGGGTTTAGTTTAGACAGGTTTCTAGTCTATACAGGGTTTAGTTTAGACAGGTTTCTAGTCTACACAGGGTTCAGTTTAGACAGGTTCCCAATCTTACACAGGGTTTAGTTTAGACAGGTTCCAAATCTACACAGGGTTTAGTTTAGACAGGTTCCCAATCTTACACAGGGTTCAGTTTAGACAG